CGTTGGTTAAGAGCTGGCTTGGGACGCCAGGGGTCCCCGGTTCGGATCCCGCATATGAGGGCCAGTGACACTGCCCTCTGCAGCTAGGATGGTGAACGGTGGCTCGACCTGGGGCTGGGCTGCCGTGGGTCGCTGGTGACTGGCGTGGGCTGCAGTCCCCTGCTGCAGTGGGTTGCCATGGGCTGCCGTGTGTGGCCGGCAGCCAGCGTGAGCGGCCATCCAGAGGCTGGCGACTGATCTGCCTCACCTGGGAAGAGCGCAATGATGGTGCCAACTTGGGCCAGTGAGGCAACGTCCTCCACAACTAGACTGAAGAACTTTTGTTCTTCAAAGGACAGCAACTTGTCTGTTCCCCTTCCCCCAATTCCCTAGCGCTGTTCCCATCCCCCCAATTCCCCAATAAAAATCTTTAAAAAAAAAAAAGAAAGAAAGAAAAAAGAAAGAAGATGCTGAGAGAGAGAAACATATCAGAAAAAAAGAAGCACAGGAACTGATCAAAACTAAATGGGAAACAGCACCCCCACCCTTTTTTACAAAGCTTAAAAGATCCTCCTAAAAGGCTGAAGACAGAGAAAGGGGGGTGGGGGCGCAGCAGTCATAGATCTTCATGTACGGTAATTTTGAATAGATAACACTTTATTTTTCTGTTTTCATATTAATAAAGGTTTAACTCTTTTTTTTTTCTTTTCTTTTTTTTAGTTTTGGGTGAAGCATTTAACGCTTGATAAAAGGAAGTCCTGGGGATGAGGAGAACATGGAAGAACTGGAGATCAGTTATCCAAGTGTCTTCTCAGGCCTGGTTAAGACGGGGTTTCTACCTGGGGAGAGAAGGGAGAATCAGAGATATGGGACGGCGCCAACCGCGCAGGGGACGTGGGCTGGGTCCCAAGACCACCGTGGTGTGAATCCCACCAGGTATTCTCCTCCCAAGGGCACTGAGATGTGCCGCCAAGGAATCGGGGTCTGGGGATCAGGAATTCTGGGCAAGCCACCCTAAGGAATTATACTCTCGGAATATCCTTTACCTCACAATTTCAATGTGAAGAGGAAAAGGATTCATTCTTAGAAGCTGGAAGCAAAAACCATGGCAATTGAAAATAGTCATCATAAAAACTCAGTAATACTTATCCTAATGTCCCCATCATTCACAGGAGAAGGGTGAGGCCCAGTACATGAAATAAATTGTGCATTTTCTGAGGAAGAAGAGGTCTATTGCGCCCCCCAACACCCCCCCCCGCCAGGCCTTTATTGTCCTTGAGGCAAATTTTCAGGGCTGATCCCAATTGAAAAGCTCTGATCTCAATGATCTCCAAGGGCACTGGCAGTTCAACTCCCCCTGGGACACCTGATTCTCCAGGATCGCTTCGGGGACAAAGTTGCAAACGGTAGACGTGGGGTTTCTCACCTCAGTCCAAACTCGACCACGGCTCCATACACTGCCGTTTGCAATTGTAGAAACAACACTTCTTGGGCCCCCTGCAACCTCTATCGCGCCGGCACACAGGTAAAAGGGTGAAAGGGCAGGAAAGTAAGAACTCTGGGCAGTATCCAGGTTTATCGACACCTGAGGAAAAAGGCCACAGGGTGAGTTGGGGGCACCTGTGTGGGTCGTTGCTGGGCATCAGTGCCCGCTTGTCCCGTGGACTCCTCTGAGGAAATGTTCCCCACACGAACACCACACGCGACCGCCACACCCTACACGCACGTTTCTGGGATCCAGGTTGCGCCATGTAGAGGCAGATGAGGAGGAAGCCCACGGTGAGAACAGACAGACTGCTCAGCTTCATAATCCAAGAAAAGTGTGTGGGTGAACGAGACGGAATCTGTCTTTATTGTCTATGGCAGGAGCCCGCCAGCAGGGGGAGCTGTAGTTCCCAGGGTCCAAGGTCAGAAGTGCTTTAATTTGACCTTTCCTATTAGCTGTTTCCTTTCACCCCTGCCCCCTTCCCAGAAGAGGAGCTGTAATAACCTCTGGGGGCCTAGCCTAACTTCTTTTTTTTTTTAAGATTTTTATTGGGGAACCGGGGGATGGGAACAGCGCTAGGGAATTGGGGGAAGGGGAACAGACAAGTTGCTGTCCTTTTGTTCTTCAGTCTAGTTGTGGAGGACGTTGCTTCACTGGCCCAAGTTGGCACCATCATNCTTTCTTTCTTTCTTTTCTTTCTTTCTTTCTTTCTTTCTTTCTTTCTTTCTTTCTTTCTTTCTTTCTTTCTTTCTTTCTTTTTAAAGATTTTATTGGGGAATTGGGGAAGGGGAAGAGTGTTGGGTAATTGGGGAAAGGGAACAGCCAAGTTGTTGTCCTTCAATCTTAGTTGTGGAGGGTGCAGCTAGCTTGGCTCCAAGTCCAGTCGCCATCTAGCCACCTGTCTGCGGCTCGCAGCCGCTCAGCTTAAGGTGCTGCATTCAATCTTAGTTGTGGGTGGGCATAGCCTACCATCCCATGGGGGAGTTGAACCGGCAACCTTGTTAGGAGCACGTGCTCTCACCAGCTGAGCCATCCTGCCACCTGTTAGCAGCTCAGCGGCAGCTCAGTTCGGGCGCAGTGTCACTGGCCCATGTAGGAATCGAACTGGCGGCCCTGTTGCTCGGAGCTCGTGCTCTTAACCAACTGAGCCACTCGGCCGGCCCACCACTTTCTTAATGATTATCACTGAGGATAAGTCCAGTTTATGGGGATGCTTCTCCATGAGATTATAAGGTCCTAAAGAGGAGAGACCGTGTCTGTCTTGTTTATTGTAAAATTCACCCAGGTCAGCATGCAGTTCTATGAGTTTTGACAAAGGCATACAGCCGTGAAACCACCATCACAATCAAGAGAGAGAGAGCAGTTCCATCGCCCTGCAAAATCCTCTTACACCCTTTGCAGCCAATCCCTTCCCCTACTCCCAGCTCTTGGGTTCTCTATCTCTATAGTTTTGCCTTTTTGAGGGGGTCATACAGATGGAATCAAACAGTGTGTAGCCTTTTGAGTATGTCTTCTTTCACTAAGTGTAATGTACTTAAGATTCATCTATGTTGTTGGTAGTTTGTTCCTTTTCAATGCTGAATAGTATTACATTGCATGGACAGGTCACGGTTCGGTTATGCATCCCCCAGATGAAAGATATTTGGGTTGCTCCCAGCTTTTGGTAATTATGAATAAAACTGCTATAAGCAGTCATGCACAGATTTCTGTGTAGATATGGTTGACAGTTCTCTTGGGTCATATCGACTAGTAGGATTGATAGGTAGTATGGTGAGTGTATGTTGACTTTAGAATAAATTGCCAAATTATTTCCAGCGTGTCTTACAATTTTCCAGTGGTGTGTGAGAGATCTCATTTCATTGAGGTTTTACTGTTATTTCCCTAAAGACTAGTGAGGAAGTGATTATTTTCATGTGCTTGTTTGCCATCTGTATGTCTTCTTTGGTGAAGTATCTGTTCAAGTCTTTTGCCCATTTTTATTAGGTTGTTTGTTTTCTTTTTGTTCAGTTTTGAGAGTTCTTTATATGTTCTACATACAAGTACTTTATCAGATATGTATTTTGCCAATATTTTCTCCCAATAGGTGGCCTATCTTTCGTTTCTTAATACTGTTTTTCGAAGAGTAGCAGTTTTCAAATTTGATGAAAACCCAATTTAAAAATTGATGAAATCACCAGTTTTTGCTTCATTATGTTTTTGGTGTTGTCTCTGAGAAGTCTTTGCATAACCCAAAGTCACAAAGAGTTTCTCTTTATGCCTTCTTCTAGGGCTGCATATCCAAGCTCCTGCCCCCAGGTCAGAGAGGTCAGGCCTAGAAGTGTTGCCATAGGCGATCCTCTGAGGTTCCGTGCCTGGAGGATTGTGGGAGATGGTATTGAAGGGCTGGAGGTTCTGCTGAGGGTTACACATGAGGCAGCCACCCTGACAGTTTCAATGTGGGGAGGGTGATGGCAGGTGGGTCATAGAACTGAGCTTAGCCTTTCTTCTTATCTTTGTTAGGGACAATGCACTGCTTCCTATACTTGCTCTGTAACGCTTAAGGCTGTGTTAGCACTGAGCATCATTTTTGCAATAGTTTGGAGGATTGAGCATCGTACGAGTGACTTCTACCACTGAATACTTCCCAGGTTTCATCTGAACTGGACCAAGCAGGTCTAGAGCTTGGGACCCTCCTCTGTCCAGGACCACAGCCCAGCCTTATCCTGCTCCATGGAAGCCAATCCCTTTTCCTACTCTCAGTCCCCAAACTGAGGCCTAAGCATCTCATGAAGGAAGGCCTGATGGACTGACCAGGGGCTTACCTACAGTCATGGTAACTCAGGCTGTCATGGGTTCCATTAACTGATCAAGTAACCAATAAGATTGACAAAATTGGCAGTGGCAGAGACCCAGCTAAGCCTTGTCCTCAACCAGATTCAGAGGGAGACCCCACCTACACCCCCAAACTCTCTGTCCTTGGTCTGTCTTTGCCTCTTCCTTGCAGATAGGACACTCTCACCCAGGTTCAGAACATTTGCTGGATTCCTACACTTCGTGCAACACATAGTAGGACAGCATTTCCTCTCTGAATACTGCCGGTTATTCTGGCAGTGAGGGCTGGTTGACCTGACACCACTAAAGGGTTTGAGGAGGGCAGGCTCCAGCTTTCGGTTCTTCTGAAGACAGACAACACGGACAAGGAGGGAGGTGGGTTTGACAAATGCACGAGTCCATCTTCCTAGGAGGTGAAAGGAGCCCCCAGACACCAAGAGGAAGGCTGTGGGGGAGCTGTTGTGACCCAGAGATAGGCGAGGGGAGAGTGCTAAGGACAGCCTGATAAGCGGGCAATGAAAAGTCGCTGGCTCATCACATCTGTGTAGGGTTCACATTCAGGTATTCATGTCTCAGGAAAAGATAATGACACGCAGAACAAAGAATGACAGGAACAGAGAGAGGAGAGAATAAAGACAAGCATATAAGAACATTACGACAAAAGTTGAGCGTTAATGACAGAAAGGGAGAGAGAGAGAGAGAGAGAGACAGAGAGAGAGAGAGAGAGAGAGAGAGAAGAGAGAGAGAAAAATTAAAATGAGCCAGAAATTAAAAGAAAGCCAGATAGA